GGGGTCCTGCAGTGCTCCAACGTCGCACCTACTGCTGCTTCCAGAGCATCCCAGAGCAGAGTTAGCGTGTCCCGGCAGCTTCGCACCTCTGCTTAGGTAGCTTGGAAGCTGTTGTGGAAACGTACAGTAACGGAGGAGAGTGCGCTGCAGTAGTCCTGATTATCAGTTTTTCTCCCCCAAACCTATGGGGCAAACCTGTGCAAATCTTACTTGTTTGCTAACTTAGTTTCTCAAGGATGATGTGACAAAACCAGTTAGAAGGTTAGGAAATGTTCTGCAGACAGCAGTCGTGTGCCAGGGGGGAATGGATGGGGTGAGCAAGTAAAACTTTTCTACGAAGTGTTTGATGACTAGAGTAGATGTTTGACCTGACTCTTCTCTGCTCTTGTGCTTGAGAAAGGTCAGGAACTTGTAGATGGGCCACCTGTGGTGTTCTTGGGGTGTGCTGAGATCAGCTGTGTGGGTTAGGCTCTGGACTGGCCCATGTTCTCATGCTTGTACTGCTGCCTGAGCCAGTTTTCTCCCTTTTCCCTTCCTTTTTGCAGTGTGGTCATTCCTGCCATGGAGCTAAAAGGCCTTTGTATCCTTCAGGGGCTGCCTTTTAGGGGTGCAGTTCTAGCTGTTGTTCAAAGGTTAATTTCAAGTAATGGCCACATTGTTAGTCTGGGGGTTTTTTTGTTTGTTTGGAAAACCCATGGTTTAATCATTTTTAGTGAGTTATCCAACTCATGGAGCAGCTAGATGAGTCAAGTGATGTGATAGCATAGTGATCACTAAATTTTTGTAAGAGGAAGGTGCTGGAAGATGCACTTGGAGGAGGGGAGGGGGTGTAATTCTGCTATTCTGTCTGGGAATAGCCTGTGTTTGGATCGGATTACACTAACATGGAGCTGCAGCCTTAAATGAACTTGCTTGGGGAAATACTGTGCCTTTTCACTTTTGTATTTGGAAAGGGTTTTGCTGGATAACCCTACTTGCTGTGAGTGACTTAAAATTCTTACTGCCCTTCTGCAAAGGGAGAGTATGCTTTTCTGTCCATGTCTCCAAAAGGCCTTCTGCCTGCACAGGAATTCAGCAAAATTATTCAATGCCTCTCGTACCAGAGGTGTTTCAGTAAGATTCTCTTTGTTCTAGGACCTGATTTTAATAAGATCTAGATCGATATGGAATTCTCAAAAATGCTAGTAATGTTAGGATTCAGTAGTGCTGTTTAGTGAGGAAACACAGATTGGTGAAACAGAGCACCAAGTCAGAAGCCAGGTTTCCCCTTTTGCAGCTGTTGAGGGTAAGGGTGAACATTAGTTACATTCTTTCCTCTCACTGACACTTGTGGCATCATAAGTAAGGTAATTCAGCTCACTGATCTGGCAGAAAATGATGTTGAGGGTAGCTTTTCTGCAGAGTTAACAAGTTGATCTACTGAGCACCAGAAATGAGGTGAATGCTGGGAGGTTGAGGGTGAGCAAGGGAGCATAAATTGTCTTCTAATGGCAGCTGAGCTACTAGAGAACTCGGTGTAATGTGTGTAGCTTCACTTGCATTTTAACTCCATTCAAAGTACTTCATTTATCCACCACAGTGGATAAAAGTCTGTATTTATTCTCTTCCTTCTCAGTTTGTTTATTTTCAGGCTTCATTTAATTTTTGTGGTGTTGCGCTCTGGGGAAGACCTTTGAGGCAGTTGTTTCTCCAGAGCTTTTATATTCTGGATAGTTTTATTGCCCAACTCTTTCTAGCTGTAGTAGAGTTGTGCCTGAAGATGGTAGTGACCAGTTAGGAGGAGGCGTGTCTCAGGTGAAGAGAAGATGACTTCAGGGGTGTCTCAGGTGAAGAGAAGATGACTTCAGGGCAGAATTACCGATGGCCGATGCTGAAGCAGTGCAGGAAGCCAGTGTTGGATTAGCAGGGAGATGCCTGGGCAGGACTTGAGGGTAGAGATAAAGATGTATGTGGAAGACAGGACTGGAGCAGCAGCTTTCTGCTTGCCAATTAAAGATTTTCCAGATTCTGAGGAGCAGGTTTGAAGCAGCAATTCCTTCATTTAGCCACCCATCCTCTGCAGTGTTAATGCTGTTGCCCTACTTTCGAGTAATCTGCTGTCCTTAACACCATGTCAGAATTTAAAAAGTTGTCTGGTTGAGACTATTGTTAAACCCTCTTTTCTGCTGCACTGGTCTGTTTGTTTATGCACTAGGAAAACATTGTTTGGAGAAGGCTGTGAAGCTCAAAATCTCTGGATTTAGAAAGGGCTAGATAAAGGTGCTGTGCCAGTGGTCTGGACTCCTGGAAACTCATTTAGAGGGGTATCATATAGAGGTCTCTCATATACATTACAGAGGAGCCAGCTGGTGTTTTGGAAATAAATAGGCTGTCAGTGATAATAGGACTATCAGAAACTTTTTTAAAAATCTTACATGAAATTATATCCTTCTAAAAAGTCAGGTTTGTGTTTTTTTTTCCCGGTGGAATTCTGTTGAATAATCACTTTTGCTCCCTTTTCTGACTCTAACCCCTCCTGCCACTACTCCTGGTGTAGCTCACGTTTCTTGCCGTAGAAAACTCCCTGATCATGTCAATGCATGACTCTTCTGCTAAGCACTCTCTTCAATCTCACTTCTCTTCCTCTTGGCTGATGAAAACGTTCTCCAGTCCTTTCTCAGTCCTGCAATTCACTGCAACTCATCTTTCTGCTGCTGGAAGATCTCCTTGGTTCTGCATGACCTCTTCAGCAACTTTTGCCTTACAAGTGTTGCCAGTGAACACTTCATCCACTCTGCTTCTGACTCCATTCCTCCTGAAAGCAACTCGCCACCACAGATACCAGCCTCTAGTCTGTTATCCAAGAGAAGATCTGTCAGGAACTACAAGTAGTTAGAAAGTCCATATGATCGGAGAAAGAAAGAAAGGGTTGAGGGCTGGAGGCTAAGTTAGGAGAAGGAGGGACAGAGTTGGTTTATCTGCAGGAGGGCGATGGAGTTGAGGTGCTGGAGGAGGAGAGGATCAGAAGTTGCCAAAGTGCAGTGGAGGACTGGAAGCATGGTGGAATTTGCCTGAGTTCACTAGCTCCTCTTGAAGGAAAGGTCTGTAAACAAATGATTGCCTGAATGAGCTGCAGCTGCTCCTTCACTACCTTTTCAAGATTTCATGATGCCGTAGGTTCCAACTATAGCATGGCAATAAAAATATGAGAATGTGTGCATTACGTCTCTGACTGTGGACATAAAAGATTTAAACTGTGGGTATAATTTCTGGGTGATTTCAGAAGCCCACCATCCCTGGTCCCTGTGATGTAGCAAAGTTGTGCATGGAGCCTGGTTTTGAGATATTCCAGTAAAAAAGCTGTGTAATGTAGTGAAATACAGTTTGTTTTTTTCTGTAGCCTGACTTACTTTCCAACTCTCTCAATGCAGATCTGGAGTCCAGCTCAGCCTGAGCTCCTGGGATCCTGTCACCATGGAGACTGAAAGTGAGCAGAACTCCAACTCCACCAGCGGGAGCTCCAGTTCTGGAGGAAGCACCCGTCCTCAGATATCACAGATGTCTCTCTATGAGCGACAGGCAGTACAGGTGAGACACAGTTATGTTCTGGGGTGGCAGGTGCCTCAGTGGAAGGTGGTGGTAAGCTCTTTCGTGTTCCCCTGAGTTAATGTGTCCAAGTGGGAGCATGCACAGAGGACTGTCGTTTTTCAGATTTAGAAATTATTATGCTAGGCCTGAGTTCTTACAGCCTGAGACGTCATGTTTTATAGGTTACTCCTTCAGTGTCCAGCCTCTTAGATATAATCTGTCCTGTGATCCAATACATTGATTTTAGCCTGCTGTTCTAGAGCAAGTCACTCAGTTTACCGTCCCAGCCTGTCTATACCCTCCATACGCAGGAAAACTTGTCTGTGTATGTGACCACACACATCCCCAGATTCCTGGAGTTTATTAAGCTCTTGCAGGTGTGCTTCCTGCTGTCCTGGAATACACCTGTGATTCAGTCTGTTACCAAATTTGTGACTGTAGTATGGATTTTGAGGTGCTAATCTAGTGCATGCTTTTTTTCATTTGGTCTAGGGATGTTCTCGTGGCTGTTACTTATTTCTTCATTGTGCTCTTCAATCACCCTTCAAGCACACACAAGTTTTGACAATTGGGTTTTCCTCTTTATCTAGGCCCTGCAGGCACTCCAGAGGCAGCCCAATGCAGCCCAGTACTTCCATCAGTTTATGCTCCAGCAGCAGTTTAACAGTGCCCAGCTTCACAGCCTGGCTGCTGTCCAGCAGGTGAGTTGCCAAGAGGCAGAAGGAGAGGAATTGGATCATTCTCTGGGGAAGATCCAGAAGTTATCTTCTTGTGCAGTGCCTTGTGCACTGAGGTCATCCTGATCCCTGATGAGACAACAAGTCCTCTTGTTTAGAGTTAATACAAACAGCTAGTAAACTGGAAGCCTGATGCAAAGATTCATTTGTTTTTCAGGTACAGACCAGGGGAAGATAAAATTTGGTATCCCCATCAGGGAAGTTGCACTCCGGAGGCCTATGACTACCCCTGCACCTTCTTTAAATAAAAGATGGGTGGTTAAATCAGCCGTGAATGCAATAATGTTAAAAAACTGTATTAAAGGGAACAGTGGATTGTTACTTCTCTGAGAATAAATGTTTGTGTTTGAGTGAAATTTCAGGCGGTATGCTCTGAATTTTCTGTCTTGAAACTTAGTAGCTCATGTTTTCTTTAACAGCAAGAGGGATCTGGGGTGGATCTTGTCCAGCCAGGAGGCTTTCTTTTTAATTGAGACATATATAGATCAATATGAATCAAGATATTTTATGATGTACAACTATTGAATATTTTTTTTCTTTATCAACTTTGCTCACCCACCAGACTTTATCATCAGTTGAGGATGGATTATGTGTGATGTGAATACAGTTCTGTTTGTGTAACAATATCTCAGTAGCTGAACTCCTTGACAGTTAGTCCAGGATGTAGTTGTTCATAAAATACCTACCTGTTGTCTTATACTACTGAAAGATTAGAATCCTTGTGTCATTTTTGCACAAATCTTAATTATAAAATTAACTAAACTCATACAGGTGAATTCCCATGGGATCAGAGAGGGGGAAATAAAGAAACCAATATTTATATTCCTCCACAAACCATATGTACTATAATCTGAAATTCGTTACTTGGAGTACTACCATTGCATTGTTACTAAACTGCCTAGTTAGCCAGCAAAGTGCTAATACTGCAGGGAATGTCTGGATGTTAACAGTGGATTTCAGCATTAGGGTGAGAGTTGCAGTGTGTAGCATGACAAGCTGGGGAACAGTAGGATGTTTACCCCTGGGTGGAAGGACTGGAGGTCCTTCACTGTCAGGCTAAGGGACTAGGTGTTCTGACAAAGCCAAATAATTGGCCTGGATTAAAAAGTTTGTTCCAGGCACTCATGTCTCTGTCAATCTTTCTTGCAGGCTACAATTGCAGCCAGTAGACAGGCCAGCTCCCCCAACACTAGCACCTCTCAACAGACCACCACCACCCAGGCTTCTGTAAGTAAAACTGCTCCCTCACACATATATTGAAGCCTCCCTATTACTCCCCACGTTGTTTTTTCTCCTCTTTGTATTTAAGGATGGCAGTCAGCCACACAGCTTCTAAGAATGCTGGGAATCCACAATATGCAGACAACTTTGAGGATTTGGGGTGCTATTGTTATTGGTGGGGGTTAAGGAGACCAGATAAGGTTTTTGGGTGGGAGAGGCCTCTTAGCTGGAAAGGTTGACATGGATCTCTGTTTGCTGAGGCTTTGGGGTATGTTGTCATGTATTAGAAAAGGGTCAGGACTTTGGAGAAGGAGTCATGGCAGCTTGAAAGGGAATCTCCTTTTGTCTTGGGCAGAGTAGTAGTTTGTTGAATGAGAGGATGTCTGTTTTGTAGTGAGTATTGAGAAGCTTGGATTTGTTTGGAGAGTAGATGAGTGGGTAGGGTAGAGAAGATTTTGTGGGTTTTCTATCTTTATTTGAGAGGCTGGAGAAAATGATGTAATTTTTTTTTGGATCTCTTATTACAGTTGCATGCTAACAGTGATACTCAAGCTCAGCATACGAATGAGGTTAGTATCCAGGGCTTTGGCTAGTTTAGATTGCATAGCCTCTAAGATGAGCCCTCTAAGACAAGAAATTTCTTCTTCTTGGTCCCCTGTGGAATACAGGAAAAAAACTGTAAAATGTCTGTTCTGGCTGTACCCCACTAAGTGAATTTGTACTTATTTCTTGGTCTCCATGTCTTCATATATGATTTGGAACTTTTTTCTGTTCTAAGATCAACCTAGCCACCACATCAGCTGCTCAGCTGATCAGTCGGTCACAGAGCGTGAGTTCCCCCAGCGCCACAACCCTGACACAGTCTGTGCTCCTTGGGAATACCACCTCACCGCCTCTCAACCAGTCACAGGCCCAGATGTATCTTCGGGTAAGAGATGTGCATGCAAAATGTGTCCTGACCGTGAAACCCGCTTACTACCTCCTTCAGTGTCTCTCTGCTTGGGATTGCTATCACCTATGGACTAAGTCTAACTTTATGGATTTTGCAGTATATTTTAAAATCGTATCGGGAAGCTGTTGTCCCTGAAACCACAAATTTGATTCTGGGCTCTGCTTTTGAGGGTAGATGAGCTTTGTATTTTGTGACTCAGGTGAGAATGTTAACAACTGTGTGTCTCTGCTCTGCATAGATGTTAAAGATCCCATAGCACTTCTCACTAGAGTGTAAATGTGAAATATATGTCCTAGACTTGAATATAGCTCACAGAAAAAAACTACTCTTCTGGTTCAGTACTGGAACAGATATATGGTAAATTATTCTTCTACTGTTGCTGTGCTCAGCAAGTTTAGAAACATAAATGAATGTGAACAAATAGTCATTGCTTTAATTGCTTTGAAGTTCAGCTAAATAGAAAACACTAGGCTTGACTATATAGTTAGTCTGGGGCTTGGTTACCTACTTAAAAAGTCAACTGTGTCTCAGTTGACTTCAGATACAGGTTGTAATCCCCATCTTCTCAAGCAACCCTGATCTTGGATGTATGTCTTTTATCACCATTTCCCTACCAGTCCCTGGTAAACATCTGAAAATTCAATGATACCTCAGTTTTTTAGCCAGCCTCAGGCAGTCTGTGGGAGTTGGCCCAGGCCCATGTTTGATAGAAGAGTGCTTGTTTCCTTGAGGAAACTGTTCTCAGTTTCCTGCTCCTGAGGGTTAGGTTCAGTGTTACAGTGCAAGGAGGGTTGGTGGTTTTGCAGTGTGTGACACTGCAGCCCAGTGTTGCTTTGTAATGTTTGCCTGTGGTTCGTTGTCTTTCTTTTTCTCTTCCCCTCCATTCCTTTCATTCCACATCATCTAATCCTCAACAGCCACAGCTGGGGAACCTGTTGCAGGTAAACCGGACCCTGGGTCGCAATGTGCCTCTTGCCTCCCAACTCATCCTGATGCCCAACGGGGCTGTGGCTGCTGTCCAGCAGGAAGTACCACCCACTCAGTCTCCTGGGGTCCATGCAGACACAGACCAGGTCAGTGACACCTCCCTTCCCCCTGCTTTCTGTCATCCCACACTCTGGTCTTTGTCTTAAAATGTCCCTGTAAGGCAGATCATCTCTATTTTATCCCCAACCCGTGTCCCTGTGCAAGCAGGAGATTCTGTTTTCTTTTACCACCATATTTTCGTGTTTGCTTTTTGCCTTCAGAGATGGGATTAATTTCCGCTGAAAATTTCTGATGTGAGCCACTGGCTGGATCAATCCCATCTTCACAGTTTTATGACTGTGCTTGTGCAAAAAGAACTATGTCCAGTTTTCAGTTACTCTTCAGTTTAATGTCTTTGCCAGAGGTAGTATTCCTTCACCTAGCTGATTTGTTCTTGTAAAGATGGCAAAGATTGAACAGGCCACAAGGTTTTAGTTGCTTCATTCATCTGTAAGTAATTCTCTGGGTCAGGGAACTGCCATGGCTTTTCATTTACCTTGTCTTATCCCAGTCATTCTTGGGATTTCCAGTTACTTCATATTTTTCTTGTCTGGAGCATTTTCTTTGAAGAAAAGTCAACCATGATCAAACTTTGAAGATAACATTGCATTTGGGGAAGGAGTCACAACAGAGGGTGGCAGCACCAAATTACAGAGGAACTGGTGAAATTGGAAGGGGTGCTGGCCATAAGTAGATCTGTGGACCTGCTGAATGGAAAGCCCTGCACAGGGGCAGGAGGCAAGTGGCACAAAAATTGAAAAGGAATGATTGGTCTTTAAAGGAGTATCTCGGTGCTTTTAGAGCCACACTAAACTGGGTCCTACCAGTGCAATGATATGGCAGGCAGGTCTGAAGGCTGTAACATGCCTCGGAGAAAGATGGTATCCTCAAATCTTGTTCACAAAGTGCCATGAGATCTTTAATTTCCATCAGAGATGGAGCAGGAGGGAGTTCAGGATAATGTGCTTCCTGGGATGGACCATGCCTGAGCTTTGCCCTGCAGTGTTAGCCATCTCCTCACGTGAGACTTGAGGCATCAACTTAGCCTGCATGCCAGTAGAGTGTGTTGCTTACACATGCTCTGTCAAACTCCCAGCAAGTAATGTGTATAAAGCAAATGGATTCTGTTTTGTATGTGTGTTTCTAGGTGCAGAACTTGGCTGTGAGGAGCCAGCAGACCTCCACCACTAACACCCAGCTCCAAGGCTCTGCTCAGAAGGCAGCTCTGCCAGGAAGCTCCCAGGCTTCGGGCTTACCACAGGCCACCAGCACAGGCCAGACCGTGGCAGTGGCTCAGGCCTCCTCTGGCACTGCTGGCCAGTCCCTCAACCTGAGCCAGGGAGCAACAGGCAGCAATGGTGTCTCCGGGGGTGTGGTGGCAAGTGGTGGGAGCCAGACCTCAATGGGATTGAGCCAGACCTCCTCGGCAGGTGCTGCTGGCAGTTGCCAAAGGAAGGGCACAGGGGTGGTTCAGCCATTACCAGTAGCGGCTGCCCAGGCTGTGACTGTCAGCCAGGGAAGCCAGACAGAGACAGAGAATGCAGCCACAAAAAAGGGCGAAACGGACAGCAGCGGACAGCAAACAGTGGGCATGAACCTGACCAGGACTGCTACACCAGCACCCAGTCAGACCTTGATTAGCTCAGGTAAGTGCACACCTGCTTTTTCTCTTGGAGGCCACTGGGCTTTCGCAAGAGTAGCATTTGAAAGCCCTGATGGTGAAAGGTTTTCCCACACACCTCCCAGCTTCTGGGCTCCCAGAGACCTCTTGTTTTGAGGGGTTATCCCTCCCTATTAGCATGAGAAGTTGATTTAGTCCCTTATGTCCTCTGCCAGTAAGCTAACAGTCATTTTGGAGCTTAATGTCTCAAACCAATGCAGTGGCTGCCTGCCTTGTTTTGGTTGTTCCCAGCTGCATCGTTACTAACTTTTCTGCTCTGTTTCTTCTCACTCTATGTTTGTGTAGCAACGTATACGCAGATTCAGCCACACTCACTGATCCAGCAGCAGCAGCAGATCCATCTGCAGAAGCAGGTGGTGATCCAGCAGCAGATAGCCATTCATCACCAGCAGCAGTTCCAGCACCGCCAGTCCCAGCTTCTCCACACAGCCACTCATCTTCAACTGGCCCAACAGCAGCAACAGCAGCAAGCAGCATCTCTGACCCAACAGCAGCAGCAAGCTCAGCCTCCACAGCAGCAGGCTCCACCTCAGAACCAGCAGCAGGCTCAGACCCTTGTGGTACAACCTATGTTGCAGTCCCAACCCCAGCATTTGCAGCTCCAGCAGGACAGTCCTTGCCAGCCAGCCACAAAGTCACCTGTTCCAATTCAGTCAAAGTCTCTGGTCACCCCCATCAAACCACCTCAGCTTGGGCCTGCCAAAATGTCAGCAACACAGCAGCCTCCACCACACATCCCAGTGCAGGTAGTGGGTACTCGGCAGCAGGGCTCAGGCCAAGCCCAAGCGCTGGGTTTGGCTCAGATTGCTGCAGCAGTGCCGACATCCCGGGGAATGCCAGCTGTAGTCCAGCCTGTTTCCCAAACCCATGCTGCTTCCCCATCATCATCTTCAGCTCCAGCATCCTCACAGGAAGCTCCCCCTCTCACCACAGGGGTGAATTTGGCACAAGTTCAAGGCACAGCCCACATGGTGAAGAGCCCAGCTTCCTCTCCAGTTGTGGCTCAGATGCCAGCAGCATTCTACATGCAGTCTGTCCAGTTGCCAGTAAGTGATACCATTGAGAAGGAGAATAGCATATGGATTCTCTTTGTTCATTCCTAGGACACCAATCGCAGTCCAGGCCCAGGTCAGTGGGATGGGATGGGCAAGGGGTTTGGGGAAAGGGATGTGGAGACTTTTTTGCTCTCAAAAACACTAATTCCAATCCAAGCCCTGGGATTACTGACTACAAGCATTTCTCTTCCACATTATCATTTAAAGGCTTGCCCCAAAATGGGGCAGGTGTCCACATCACATATTAAGTATCACACGTAACAGTGGGGTGGGTTGACCTTGGCTGGCTGCTGGGTGACCACTAAGTTGGTGCTCTCTCACTCCTCATTCACAACAGGACATGAGGAGAAAAATACAATGAAAAGCTTGTGGGTTGAGAGAAGGATGTGGAAATCACTTGCCAATTACCGTCACCGGCAAAACCAACTCAATTTAGGGAAATTAATTTAATTTACTGCCAATTAATCAGTGTAGAGTAATTGGAAAAGAACAAATCTAAAAAATACCTGCTTCCTTCCTCATGGGCTCAGGCTTCACTCCCAACTCTTCTACCTCCTCCCCCTGAGGAGTGCAGGAGGACAGGAAATGGGGGTTATGGTCAGTTCTTAAGGTTTTGTCTCTTTCTCATGCTTTTCCCTTGCTGTAGCATGGGATCCCTCCGATGGGATACAGTCCTTCACAAACTTCTCCAATGTGGGCCTTTTCCACAAGCTGCAGTTTTTCGTGAACTGCTCCAGTGTGGATTCTTCTGTGTCACAGACCCCTTGGTATATGGTAGCAGACACTGACTCTAGGCCTCAGAGGATCTCCTAGCAACAGGCTGTGCAGAGGAAAACAAAGATGGTTCATGTTCCAGAAGCCTCGTCTGTGATGTTATGAATTGTCTGGTTAGGACCTGCCTAAATCCCTGGGACAACAGCACTTTACAAACTCAGATCATAGAATCATAAATGGTTTGAGTTGGAAAGGACCTTAAAGATCATCTAGTTCCAAGCCCCCTCCTGTGGCAGGGACACAGGCTGCTAGGCCAGGTTGCTCAGAGCTCCATTTAGCCTCACTTTGAGCACTTCCTTAGCCAGTTTCTGAGATTGTTTCTAGACTCCGTCTGCTTCTTCGGGAAGGTGTCACAGGATTTGTCTCATATTTAGAGTGGGGGCAATTATGCTCATAGGGAACATGTGTCCCCTGCTTTTTTGACTCTACTTTGCTGAAACTGATCTGATTTAGCCAAAAGCCTGTTTGGAAATGAATGCCATTCCATTTCATTCTTCCTGGAACAATCCTTTGAGGTTCACATATTGTCTTGATATTATACCAGTGTATCAACATGAATTGGGACACCAGATCCTAGTCCGTGGTATGATAGTGAGTATTGTCAAGCTTTGTTCCTTGCTACGCAAACGCTCCTAAGTAGAGGTATGTACTGTGAAGGAGTTAGAAGCATGTCCAGAAGGAACCAGGCTGGAAATCAAGTATGATGGAGCAGGATACATTTTTTTTTTTTTTTGCCTTTTGTCTGTTGTGTTCTTTGCTTTGGAGCTCTTCTATGTGCTTACGTGTTGCTCTTTATTCATGCAGGGCAAATCTCAGACCTTAGCAGTAAAGCGCAAGGCAGAGTCAGAGGAGGAGAAGGAGGAATCACCCAACGTCACTGCACTCCTGCCTGCCAGGTCCTCTCCTGTAACAGACAGCCCCAAAAACATAGAGGAGAAGAGTGGCCTTGGAGGTGAGGTACAAAGGAGAGCTCTGCTTGTGTGTGCTAAGCGTCTGATCTTATATTCCGCTTGAAGTAGGTGGAGCAAAGGGAACTGACTCTTGTGCTGTTAACTTTCCAGATAATTCTGACACTGCTGCCATTGCAACCCCAAATACCACGTCAAGTGAAGGAGCCTCAGTTACCCCCACCTCTGCTTCCACCCCAAACCTGGCAATGGTGTCACGTCAGATGGGAGACTCCAAACCCCCACAAGCCATCGTCAAGCCCCAGATCCTCACACACATCATTGAAGGCTTTGTCATCCAGGAAGGAGCAGAGCCCTTTCCAGTAGGGATTTTTTGTTTTGGGGGGAGGGAGCTGTAGAAGCTTCTTGGGAGGGTGGTGGGCTTCCGTCTTTCCCCATATTCCAACTCAGCATTTCTAGCTTGAGATGCAGACAGTGAAGGGGAAGGGAACGGAGGGAGGTGTCATGAATGAAGCAAGGCATTAAGAAGTGTCATTAAAGAGAACGAGTTGGAAGGAGTAGAACAAGTATTACGGCAACTGTTTACTCCAGTAGTCCCCAAAGCAATAATTTATGCAAGAATTACAAGGAGGTTCTTCTTTCTGATTTTTAATGAGGGAAAGATGCATTTTGAACAGGCAGTGAGTGAAGTTGAAGCAAATAAAGGGAAATGCAGTTACATGGAATTGCAGGCTATATATATTGCAGGCAGATAGTATTTGGGGATCTTTGAATGAATGGCCAAGCCTCTGAGTCAGGAAGGACTAATAACTTTGTTCAGTATGTCTCCTTCCCTATTAGGCAGAGAGATTCTTCTGAGCTGAATTTTGAGCTGCATATACTTTGCAAAAGATGCTGAACACAGAGAATCCTTTACTATTGGGTCTAACTCATTCTCTTCCTATCCAGGTGGGTTGTTCTCAGCTGCTGAAAGAATCTGAGAAACCACTGCAGGGAGAGGCTCCTTCTGGCCAGAATGAAAACCTGTCCAGCAATTCTCTGGGAGGGGACAGTGCTTCCATGGGTGAGTTTCAGCACCAGGAGGTCTAGTTAGTGTTACTGAAAATTTCTGCTCTCTGATACTGTATTATTAACTTCATAGACTTGTACCTCTTCCTGCTAACTCTTAAGAAACTCAAGCTATGGACCTAGAATCTCCTTTTCTTGAGTGCAGAATATTTTTTGTTGTTAATATGATCTAACACATCCCATGTCAGTAGTAAGCAGAAGAATCTGAACTGTACCTGTCTCTAATGACTGTGAAGGATGTGTGGACAGAGCAGAGAGTGCAGCTATGAAGATTTCCCCCCCAGCCTTGTAGGATGTGAGGGATATGCTGTTTTTCACTTGTTCCATGAAACTGTACTGACAAAGAGAAAAAACCTGCTCTGTTCAATATCCTGAAGTCCTAATTAGTGGAGCTTCTTCCCCAAGCTAACTACTTACTAGATTCAGTAGAAAATCATGCTTGGAATCTGTCTCTTCAGAAGAAGAGCAGTGGAATGGAGAATCATTGTGCGTGTGATCTGCTTCAGTTCAGATCATCAGCTAGTGTGTATCTCTGTATCTCTCTAGAGCTTGATAAGAAGGCAAACTTGTTGAAGTGTGAATATTGTGGGAAGTACGCCCCAGCAACCCAGTTCCGTGGCTCCAAGAGGTTTTGTTCCATGACCTGTGCTAAAAGGTAATAATAGCAAGATGGAATTTTCCTTATCTCTGACTATGCATTTTATGGAACTGGGCATGTGCCCCTTATCCAAGTAGTTTACAACACTGCAGTATATCTGATTCTCCCTCCATGGGATGTACTGGCCACAGAGATCCTTTAGGACTTTAAATGATTTGTAAATGCTTCTAGGTCCAGAGAGGTGGATGTGGTGTTGAGTATAAACAGAATTTCTGGCTTGCTCAGGAAATGAAGTGGGAAGGGGGAAGTTCTAGGGCTGCAAAGAACTTCTCTTCAGTGAAATGTACATTTGACTGACTAAATTAATGCACACTGATCACTGTCTGATACATTGGTACTAGACAAAGACACAAGGGAGCATTTGGGAAAAAAATGGGGAGAAGTTAGACTAGTCATTGCTGCTTCCTGTTGATAGCAGAGTGCTTGTTATGGGTCTTTTTTCCCTTAGGGGAATGACTTAATTGACCCTTCAGATGTTAGATCAAGACTCTGGTGTCCAAATATTGCTTGTGTCAGAAGTCTGGACTGGTTCCTTCCAAGGGGAAGTCTTAAAAGGAGGAGGAACAGAACTTGATGGTAAAGAGGAGTTTTATCCCCATCTAGAGCAAGGAGAAGTATTAGGCTTAGATAGTTGCTGTTTCTTAACTGCTGCTCTGCTTCTGCTTATTTGAGGTACAATGTCAGCTGCAGCCATCAGTTTCGGCTGCAGAGAAAGAAGATGAAGGAATTCCAGGAAGCTAACTATGCTCGTGTGCGCCGACGGGGGCCTCGGCGCAGCAGCTCCGAAATTGCTCGAACAAAGATCCAGGGCAAGCGCCACAGGGTAAGGACATTGTCCTATCAGGCAGAGTAAAATTTGTCATTGCTGGATGTACCACTTTGTCACAGTGGATGTAGTCATACAGAATGTGCTGAGTGCACATTGACACACTTGTTACACAAGGCACAGTGAGCTGTTCCAATCATTCATTGACTGCAGAAAGTGGATTCGTGTTTGTACTTGTTCTGTTCACTCTGTGTTCGCTCCCGTGTGTGTTTCGAAGGTCTCAGTGAGTGAGATCAGCTGACAGCCTTGGTAGAAAACAATCCACATGAATGACTTAAATCGGATTATAGAAGAATCGAATGAGCTTCAGTGCTGATGTGAGGAAGAGAGGGAGCTCTTGGGTCAGCTGCCTGTGGACCAACAGCCTGAGACAGTTGTTCCAGACTATTGGGACATCTTCTGCTTGTCCCAGTGTCTTATTTTGCAGCTAGTAATTTTGAATTTTTTACAAAACACCTTTTGTTTTCTTTCCTATGGGCTTGTAGGGTCAGGAAGACTCGAGTCGAGGCTCTGATAACTCCAGCTATGATGAAGCCTTGTCCCCTACATCTCCAGGACCCCTGTCAGTAAGGGCCAGTCATGGAGAGAGGGACCTGGCAAACTCTAGTATGGCCCCACCTACCCCAGATCTACATGGCATCAACCCAGTCTTCCTGTCCAGCAATCCTAGTCGTTGGAGTGTGGAGGAAGTGTACGAGTTCATTGCATCCCTGCAAGGTGAAGTTAAGATCCTCTCCTGCACTCCTGTGATCCAGTAGCATGGGGAGATCTGTTGGCTCTCGTTCTGGAAAGAAAATAGTGTCAGTGGTGCCTAGTGCTCTTGCATGTTTCTGAATTGGAGTAAGTCATACAGATGGATTCTCAAGATGCATTTCTCAAGTATCCTGTGTGCTCAGGGAGACTGAGGACTAAAGTGGGGATGGGGGTTGGTTAGATTCCTAGCTTGCTTTTCTGTACCAGCCAGAGGTGCAGAGAGTAGGTGCAGGGGAGTGCCCAAGGCATGTATGTTTCTCACTACTCTTTTTTTGTTTGTTTGTTTGTTTCACAGGGTGCCAGGAGATTGCTGAGGAGTTTCGGGCGCAGGAAATTGATGGTCAGGCCCTGTTGCTTCTAAAGGAGGAACATCTCATGAGTGCCATGAACATCAAGCTGGGACCAGCTCTCAAGATCTGTGCCAAGATCAATGTCCTCAAAGAGACCTAACAGCTCTGAAGCCAGAGGTCTCACGTTTGCTCTGAGCCCAGGGCAGCTGCCAGTTTTGGAGCACCCTGCTGGGGCGGGGAAGAATGGAACAGTCCCCTGTGGTCTTGCATTCAAGAAGAATGAGAAGGAATTTAACTGATTGAAACTGCCATGCACAAGCCCATGTCTTGGTCTCTTAATGGTGCTATGAGGTTGGGGAGAACTGCCACCTGGGGCCTTTAAACAACTTCCCTTCTTACTGATTTTGAATATGACTCCCCTATATACCACATAAAACTGTGAAAGGGATCTCTTTCTGTCTTAAAAGACTTCTGAAAGGGAACTGCCCTCATCTGTGTTTGCCGTGGCAGGTCTGCTAGATATTAGTTTTGAATATCGCTGCCAGAACTTGAGGCATAAGAGCTGGCCCCACATGGACATTGGGAGCACCTGTGCTTGGGGTTTCATGAAAGGTAACTAGAAAATTTTGAGTGACAGAGGTGGACAAAGAAGAATTTGAGCAAAAGGGGCTGCTGCTTTTCCACTTTTAAAAATACCTAGGCTGCTCATGAACTGGGTTTAATAGCCATTCCAGCACACATACCAAACTTGAAGGCCTGTGGCAATAGGAGCTGTCGTGTCTTCACTCTGCATGTCTACAGGAGACAGTAAAGCTAAAGTGTTGTGGCAGCTGTTCACTCCAGGTGCTTCTCTCAGAACCAGTCAGAGGATTTTTCCTGAGCGCTCATGACAAAGTGATGGGAAAATCAAAGGGGAGGGAGATTGTCTAATATTAGGGAACCTTGCAGCACTAGGTTTGTCTTCCCATTGTGCCAGGGCATAATTTACAGATCCAAAGGAGTCTCCAGAAGCACCAAGGCTCTTTGTGAAATAGGCTGGGGTTTTTTTGTTTTGTTTTTGTTTTTTGGGTTTTTTTTGTGTTCATGTTTTCTTACCAGTTTGTATTCTTTTGTCTGTCTTCATTATCCTCAGGAGAGCTTATGGGACAAAGTTTAAGCTGGCAGGACTGTACTGCCTGCCTAAGGCTCTTTTTTTTTTTTCGTGTTATAAAACAAATATTTCTTTTCCTCAGTTAAAAAACTGAACACACCCCACAACAACTGAATACTAATTCTTTAATGTTACTTCTCGTTTCTGAAGGGTAGAAGTTATGTTATAGACCGAGTTCCTCCTGTTCAGCCCCTCCAGGTTTGGGTTTTGGCTTTTTTTATATGTGGTATTCTGAAGTTTTGTAACCAAATTGCCAAAGGTGAAAATCTGGGCAGAGTTCTCTTCCAGAAGCACCTCTGCTTCAAACAAACTGGCAAAAAACCTGAAGGAATTACACAAACTATGAAGAGGTAAGTGCCCTCTACAGCCAAATACCTGAAAGCAAGATGGTGTTATAAACCATGTATCTTGGCTTTTCTGTTTTTAGAAGTTTCACATGAGTATTTGAGTGAAACATAAGACTGTTCTGTGTGGAAAGCATCTACTGTTGCAGAAAAGCTGTAGTGACATGGGAGAAGGCCTAATAGCATAGGTAGGAAAACATTAGAGATCTTTGGAATGGCCTCTTTATTGACCCCTCTTAGAAAAAGAGAGGAAGGAAAGTGCTAGTAGATGGATAAAATGTGGCTGCAGCTTCCTTGCATTTTTAACTATACTGTTGGATCTCTTTCATTACATCCTTGTTCTTGGGAGAGAAGACTTCTGCGGCTTCATGAATGAAAATAGGCCCAAAGAAAGTTGCCTATGCTTGCTTGCACCCTGATAACACTATTTGGTCCAATGTAATCTGGGGGCAGGGAAGGAGGAGGTTAGAATCAGCAATCAGCAGAGGAAGTGTGCCCTTAAACCGTTTTATCCTTAGCAGGCTGGGTGTGATAGAACTCCTGTTCAGTTTGACCCTTGGCAGGGTGGGCAGACAGCTAGCCTGCCAGTGTTACTAGCTACTTCTGAGGACTGGATTTTATTTCAGTCAAATGGGAAGGCTTCCCTTCTTCATTTCATGTTCACTGTTCTTAATAAAAGGATGCTTGATCAGGCTTTGCACGTCTGGCTGCTTTTTAATCCCCCTCCTGAACCTGAACATTAACCGAGTCTTTGAGAAGTACAACCTTCATCACAAAGCTACTTTTGATTTTTGTTGCTGCAGAAGAATACAGAGCATAACCCATCCATCCATAACTACCTGAGCTTTTTAAAGTTTCAGTTTTGAAAGATGTGCATAGCTTTCCCTCTTAAACCCTAGGGGAACTGGAGTGAAACAATGTGGCAGCAAAAACCATGAACTAACATAAATGGATTCATTATTGGCAAGAGTAGTTCAGGCACAAGGCACCGCCTTTCAGCCTTGGGTAAGAAAGATACTTTGCCACCAAAGCAAGCTCCTGTTACATCAGCACAACACTTCATAAGGTTTTTTGGTCACTTTATTTTTGAAAGTTGTGTTTTGTACAAAAAAAATTACCTTAAACACCACCATGAAAAACAGTTACAACAGACTTCCTATTTTTCCCATGTTATGAGAAAGACTGAGACTGTAACAAAAGTCAAAGAAAGCAGGAATTGTTTGCCCACTCTAAACCCAGCAAAAAAGCAGGGCTACCCCTTTTCTCTCAATGTCGTTGTTCAGACAGCATTAAAAATACATGAATCTTGTCTGTACTCTGCTGTTAACAGTAGTGGCTTGCTTATTCACAGTCTCTGCCCTCAAGACTGAGGGCAGTTCTCCTGCCAGTCCACAATAGGGTAGAAGGGGATTGCTCAGAGTGTAGCCTCTCAAATAAAAAGCAATTAAGAATCAAGGTGCCAAGTTCCAGAAGGTTCCCCGTAAGTCTATAACTCAGCTGTACCTGCTTTTCACCAGGGCCCCAAGAGAAGATCTCTCACTCCCAGACATTGGCAGCATGTGAGTACCATCTGCACAGGGCAAGTGTATTAAGACTGGCCTGCACCATGCTTAAGGGGACAGTAATTTATGAAAGTTGACCAAGTAAGTGCAAGAGTCCCTTATTTTAAATGTGTTACCATTCTTATCCTGGACTTCTGTGGTTCCTATTATATAAAAATAAATTCTGATAGTTTCACAGGAAAACCCTCTGCCAAACAAGGAACTTCTGGCAAGCATGAAATCACAATGCTGACAGTGACTGTGCTGTGTGGGCAGTCACCTTGGGAAGCTTGTATCAGAACTCAAATGGCAGCTACCTGTCTCATTTTGTCTTAATGTCAGTTCAGTTTCAGCAAATGTTCCTTTTCCTTAGCAGCACACTGTTTCCTTTTGCTTCTCAATGATTGAGAAGACAGAGACAATATTTTGACTGAACTGAAGTCATGAGACTATATTTAACTCCTATATCTTTTTAGCATTGCCCCTCTCCAGTCTGAGAGGCTGGCATGCATCCCTTTACAGCTGTTGAAGGAAACCAGTGCATACTTCTCAATACTTTGCCATTCGTAAAACAAAAGACTGCACAGGTGCTAATGCCTCTTCCGCCCCCAGAGTCTGGCATAGAGCACTCTGTGCCAGTTATGCCAGCAGAAACTGTGTAACAGTGCAGAAGCTAGAAAAGCTGAAAATGCATTCAAAGAAAAATAATTCCAGTGTAAACCCTAGGGAAAAAAGACAAAATATGCCTTTTACAGTGTCAGCTGGTTTAGCACATAGCCTTTTTTCCTTCCCCTTTCTGCACCCATCCATGGCCCTTTTTTCTTCTCAGTGATTCATCTCCCATTCCTGCTCAGTGCTGAAAACTCATATTGCTTTCTTGTTGTCTTTACTCAACTCTCAGCACTTCTCCCCCAGCTTTGCTGCATTTTCAAAAACCTAAAACAGCATTATATTTGTAAGACACACCATCAGGGACCAGTGCTGTTCACATCCAGAGGCATCCATGGGACTCAACACACCGGAGACGGCAGAAGCAGTGTAAAGAAAATCAGAAGTGAGAGAAGGAGAACTGGCTGGGAGGCACCCGGCTAAACAAGCACTGGGAAGATGGGGAGAAAAGAACTTGGTGTGGAAAGCCTATCACATTGGTAGCAAGTGGTCATCCCGTTCTTCTGACTCCTCGCCCAGCTGGTCATCCCCCACACCACGGTACGCGGCTGGCGCGTTTCGAGGCTTGGATCGGCACACAAAGTCACAGCCGTCCTACAAGCACAGGACATGGCACCAGCATCAGACTCTGCAACTGACTCAGCATCCAAAGCAAAGCAGCTCCTGCGACTTCTCTTTTGCTAAGGGATTACGCCTATCGCTGTGCTACCTAAGACATGTCCCCAGAACTTGTCTTGACATAAAAACATCCTACTCGGTCATGAGAGCTCTGGGCATATTGATTAACAGTGTGCAGCAAGATCAGGCCAAGGCAAGCACGAGGGATAAATGGCACTGCCTATAATGACCAAGGGAGGGTTTCAGGGAGGTCGGACAGGAGTATTTCACAGTCCCCAGGTGAACATTTCTCTCTGCAAAGCATTAATCCCTAAAAAGTATGTGTTCCAGTTACGTAGCAGTTGCAGGATAGCGGCAGGGAATTGGTCTTGGCAAGGATTCAAAACCAGAATACTCAAGAAAAATGAAACAGATATCTTCTTCTGCTTCAAAGTACATCACTCTGGCAGTAGGTCTACCCAAGAGACATAGTCTGCCATTTTCTCCTAATACAGGTGCCAGGCTGGGAATATATAGGGATTTTCACTCACCGCCACCAAATTGCCCAGATCTTGCCAGAAGGCAAAGTGAGGAAACTGCTCCATGCCCTTTGCTCCCACTACAAGGCGCTGGTAGAGGAACCCACCAATGATGTAGACTGCAATCAGTGAGGCAAACCTGGAATGCAGAATTAAAATAAATAAATAAAGCTGAAGAAATCCTATAGACAATCTATTTCAACCCAGCTACCTGCCTCATATTGGCATTAGAGCAAGTATCTGAGCACCACTCAAGAGCAGAGCTAAGGTCCCCAAATTATCGATTTGATAGTATAAATCTTTTAGCAGCATTATGTGAAGCAGTGCCTCTAAGCACAAACACAGAAAACGAGTCAAGACTCCTAGTCTGCATTCTGAGCTCTAGCAAAGAGCCATTATACATTTTTAGGAAGTCACATCTCCATGTTTAAGTGTATTTGTCTGTAAGCTATGAAGGAGACTCTTTACAGGGAACAGAGCAGCAGCCCTGCATCATGCTTAGAGCAAGAGCTTTTGTCCAAAAAGCTCAGAGGCATAGTAACATCTAACGGTGGCTGTGGGTAGGTATACTACAATTAGTTAGTCTACTATAGCATTTGTGAGGTTTCTAAATAGCACTGGAGATTATGGCCTAGGCACAAACAGCTCTTCCAATGACTCACGTGATCAGTAGAATGGAGCCAACGCTGAGGTGGGAATTCTCAGCTGGACAAGCCACACTGCTGTCCATCTCAAAGAGGTAGAAACATTCCTGCTCCTTTTCCCGCTCTTCAGAAATAATGCTGAATGAACTCTGTAATTTGGAAAAGTTAAGTCATGTGAAAACATGCCCAGGCACACTGAACTTCACCAGGAGACAGTTTTATCATTGCTGGTGCAGCTAGGCAACAGATACTAGAGGACACCTTGCTGGCCCCTCAAAGCCCTTCTGCTTACAAACAACTACTTGTCTGGCAGCCTCCTGATCCTCTCCCACCTCATATGTCACTCACCGCTGTAACTCCTCGCTTGCAAGAAATCATTATCACAGCTCGTCTCTTCTCACCACTGCAGTGACTGCCATATGAATCACCTCCTTTATAAATCAGCATGATCCAGTCACCTGCCAGGAGAGAAACATACAGGCTGCAAATCCAGATCAGGAGGCAAAAGGCAGCTGCTGAGTAAGAAAAGTGTGGAATGGAATCTTACTTCCATTGAAGACCTGGGTTTCATTGATT